CAGCGCCTGCCAACCTAGCAGTTCGAAAGCACCCCCGGGTGCAAGTAGATAAATAGGGACCGCTTACTAGCGGGAAGGTAAACGGCGTTTCCGTGTGCGGCTCTGGCTTGCCAGAGCAGCGATGTCACGCTGGCCACGTGACCCGGAAGTGTCTCCGGACAGCGCTGGCCCCCGGCCTCTTGAGTGAGATGGGCGCACAACCCTAGAGTCTGTCAAGACTGGCCCTTACGGGCAGGGGTACCTTTACCTTTTTACCTTAAAGGCAGTTGTACAAATAAGCAACAGTCACACTTCCCTCCTCCTTTTCTTCCACTTATTCATCATCAGAGCCAGTGTGTAGTAGAGGTTAGAGTGCCTGACTAGGACCCAGGAGACCTGGGTTCAAATCCCCACTCATTCATGAAGCTCCTTGGGTGATGTTGGGCGCGAGTCAGTCATTCTCAGCCTACCTCCTCCTCCTCCTCCTCCTCCTCCTCCTCCTCCTCCTCCTCCTTAATATACCACCCCATACCCAGAGGTCTCAGGGTGGTTCACAGAAGAAAACCAAAACCAAAACACAAAAACCACAAAATATATAATCAAAACCAAAACAACAACAGCAACCCAATAACACCCCCTTGCAGGGTTGCTGTGAGAATAATCCAGGGGGGGGACGGACGGTATACACCACCTCGAGCTCCTTGGAGGAAAGGTATGCAAACAAACAAACAAACAAACAAACAAACAAACAAACAAACAAACAAACAAACTATAATCTTCTTTTTTTTACTCACACCCCACCCTAAATGAAAAGGATGGTTTTTCCCTTTTATTTTTTATTTTTTTGCAATGTAAACCTGGCAGGGGAGATCAAGGAATAAGTAAATTGAAGTGTCCTCCAAACTAACAAACACCCCCCTCCCCCCAAAAAATTATACCCTTCCAAAACAGAGCACATGTGCCGAGAGATTTTCGGTGTGGTTTTGGAGGAGTACATGGGAGATGAGGTCATATAAACTTTCCCACCACTTGACATAAAAGGTTTTGAGCTCAACAGCTGCCATTCCAAACAAAAGGTGGCAAGGCTTTTCAAGGCTGGAACAATTGGGTGTGTGTAGGGCGGGGGGGGGGGTTGAGAAGAAGGAGGAAAAAGAAGTGTGTGCTAGAGAGACAGGTCACCTTCCCCCCTTACCTGATCTCGAGGGAGGAGGGAAAGGCTTGTGCATATGTGCTTAGTGCGAGAAATCCCATTTGCATTTAAAGGCAAACCTACACAATCCACACCTTCCCGAACGAGATCTGAACCGAAGTGTCAGTGGTCCTTCAGAATTCGCGCTTCTCCGAATTTTGCAATGTCAGGTGTTCTGTCTAAACAATCGTATACAGAAGTGTGTGTGTGTTACTGAAAATAACATACAAGAACTTGCAGTGTGTGTGTGTGGGGGGGTTGTTCTGTGAACCGCTTTGAGGTTTTGCCTTGTTTAGTTGGTTCCTAAAGTTTATACACTGCATTATTGGGGAAAACCTCAAAGCGGTTTACAAAATACGTAAATACAGTGGTACCTCGGGTTTCATATGCTTCAGGTTACAGACGCTTCAGGTTACAGACTCCGCTAACCTAGAAATAGTACCTTGGGTTAAGAACTTTGTTTCAGGATGAGAACAGAAATCGTGCTCCGGCAGTGCGGCAGCAGCGGGAAGCCCCATTAGCTAAAGTGGTGCTTCAGGTTAAGAACAGTTTCAGGTTAAGAACGGACCTCCGGAACGAATTGAGTTCTTAACCCGAAGTACCACTGTAAAGCAAAAAGGTGACATTATTGATAAAGAGAATTAACTACAACAATTTAAAACATTCAATAATAATAATAATGAAGGCCTACTACAAAAAGATTAAAACATGCACCAGCTTTCTAAATATCTGGGTAGGCTTGCAATCAAACCGTATATAAATCTTACTGCAATTAAGCGGTATATAAATATAGTTGTGATCGAGTGTTAAAATTATCTGCACTCAGACATTCAGCAGGACTTAGTTCAGCATTAAGTACCCTTGAATTCAGAGCAATCTGTGCAGTCTTCTCCAGCCTGGTGCCTTGCAGATGTTTCGGCCATTGACCAGGCTGGCTGGGGCTGATGGGAGTTGTAGGCCAAAACATCTGGAAAGCACCAGGTTGGGAAAGGGCTGGTGCAGAGATCTGCATGCTTAATTTCAAAGTAAGCCCCCCTCCCTTGAAATAAAGGGGCCTAACACTGAGTAAACATGCACAGGATCGCACTGTTAGCAATTAGGCTCTGTCCACTAAATGAAACTGGCAGCAGGAGGGCAAGATACTGGATTCCATTGATTTCAATGGGAACCAAGTTTCTTGGTCTTTGGTCCAGCCCAGTGCAAGCATTAATTCACATCTATAGATAAATGTTGTGGCTGTTATTTGTGATGTTCAAATAGTCACTCTGATACCAGGCTACTAAACCATTCTAAATGCCCTGATTATATTACTGCTATTACCGCTATTCATTATTATATGCAAAAGCTATTATACATATAAAAATGACAGTCTCAGTGTTCTCTCACAGGCAGGGTGTTTCTGTGTTGGAGGTAAGGATAAGTAATTTCTTTTTGTTAATATATAATTTTTATTTATTTTCCATTTAATAATATACATTCATATCATTATTATCGACTTTACCTCTTGGCGCTTTAGAGCCTATCAACTTCCTTCCCTCCCGCCTCATGGCTTTCAAAATTAACCTTTATATCATTGCATTTTGTACATTTTCCAATTCTAATTACACAATAACTCAAAATTTAAATAAATATAGAAAGGTAGATAATTTCTTGTTACAAATCTTCAGACAACTTCACTAGCAGGATGTTAATTCCTTACAGTAATCGTTCAGATATCGTATAAATTTACTCCAGTCCTTTTGGAATACTTGATCATGTTGGTTTTGGATAAGGATAAGTAATTTAATCCCATTAAATTTATTGGTTATCCAGGAATCATAACTAACTAACTAACTAACTAACTAACTAACTAACTATCACACACACACACACACACACACACACACACCCTGTACATCATTAAGCTACAGCTCACAAGTCTCTGATGATTATTCATTTTTCCTTTGTATCTCATTATGGGACTCAAAATGGCCTACATCCTCCCCCACTATCTAAATTTATTCTCACAACAGCCCTGTGAGGCAGATTAGGCTGTGAGTCAGTGACTGGCACAAAGACTGAGCTTCACGACCACGTGACCTTCCATATGGAAAACTTTCTTTCACAAACCGCATGCAGAAAGTAGCCTCTTCTCCCTGATGGGCTAGCTTTCTATGTGCAGAATTTATAATTATGATTATGATTATTTTGATTGCAGGTACATTCAGTTTATCACTTGTGTGAGAATGGGGTATGGTTGAAGGAGAATTTTGATTCTATTTGCACTTAAAGGTGAATCTACCTCATTTCTACTTCCGGGGACAACATGAAAACTGAAACACGCTTTGAAGTTTGTGACGAGTTCTCCAACCAAATGATTTCTCTGAAAATGCAAATTTAATGGGGGGCGGGGGAGAGAAGCATGCGTAGTTACATATAAATATGAATTAGTGAAAGCAAACAACAACAACAACAAAATGCATTACAGCGGGGAAAATGCATGTTTGAAAATTTGCACGTGAGCCAAAACTGCATGTAAAAATGTGCATGTTAGGACACATCCTGCCCAATGTCCTGTTCTCATAGTTGCCAACCAGATGCCTATGAGGAACCTCAAACTGACGTGCAAGTGAGGCGATTTATGATGCAATCACTCTTGAGGTGACACTTCAGAGGCCTATTTTTAGCACCCATCTTATTTCTGCATTTCAAAGTTGTTTTAAATCGTTGTTAATATGGCATAACAATGTGCTTCAATTGTTGTCACCTGCCCTGGGACCTGAGGCTGAGCAGCCCGCAACAAATAGTACAGTGGTACCTCGGGTTAAGTACTTAATTCGTTCCAGAGGTCCGTTCTTAACCTGAAACTGTTCTTAACCTGAAGCACCACTTTAGCTAATGGGGCCTCCTGCTGCTGCCGCACCACCGGAGCACGATTTCTGTTCTCATCCTGAAGCAAAGTTCTTACCCCGAGTTACTATTTCTGGGTTAGCAGAGTCTGTAACCTGAAGCATATGTAACCTGAAGTGTATGTAACCTGAAGCGTATGTAACCCGAGGTACCACTGTAATAGTAATACAGTGTTACCTCAGGTTAAGCACTTAATTCGTTCCGGAGGTCCGTACTTAACCTGAAACTGTTCTTAACCTGAAGCACCACTTTAGCTAATGGGGCCTCCTGCTGCGCCACCGGAAAACGATTTCTGTTCTCATCCTGAAGCAAAGTTCTTAACCTGAAGCACTATTTCTGGGTTAGCGGAGTCTGTAACCTGAAGCGTATGTAACCTGAAGCGTATGTACCCCGAGGTACCACTGTAATAATCTGATGCTGAAAATGTGGAAGAATGAACAAGCCTGGAGCAGTGAGAAACTGAGATGGACAGATTTGCCCATGCCAGTTCTGAGGCCTGTGCACGGCACTCGTTTGGACGTGTGTGCGTTTTCCCCCCTCTTTGGGCAAGCGAAGGCTCTGTCCTGCCATCGCTTGCCATACATGCACCGACAGCACCCCCGTGCCCACTAATGGCTGCGAGATGCACCTTGTGATGGTCTGGAATGTGATTAATCTGTCCCGTGGCCTTTGCGAGTGGAGGGGCAGCCTGTTCCCAGCTCCCCGTGTGTGTAATCCCTGATCCCAATCTTTCACGTAGCGCAGACTCCCCACCTGCTCATCTGGGAAAAGGTCATTATCCTGAGGCTATTCACTGCCAACGGAGCATGCAAGGCGAGCTGCTTCCTCTATTGTCTCCGCCGGCTCCTTCTGATTGGCTCCCGAGTGTGGGAAACTCGAGGGAAGCACAGACCCACAGCATCTCAGGGAGCCCGGCTGGTATAAATAGAAGGCAGGAGAAAGCCACCTCTCACAGCGTATTCGCCCAAGGATCTCCTCCTAAGCAACATCTGCCTCCGTAGCTTGGCAAAGAGAGAGAGAGAGGAAAAAGGATGGCACCTTCCAGTCTTGTCTTCATGGATCAAAATGGCCTGCTCACCCCGAAAGAAAAAAATAAAGTAAGTCAATGGATGGGTCTGGGGGTGCTCTAGTGGGGTACATCTGCTTTAAGGATAAAAGTGGGGTTTAACAGTCATTCGCCCCAGAGAACACTGGGAATTGTAGTTCTGGGAAAAGAACAGTAACTGTCTCTAATGGAGAATTCTCAGCACTTAAACTAAAAGCTGTCTGATTCTTTGGGGTAACTCATAGACCCACTGAAATTAATGAAGCTAGCAATAGTTATTAGCTTTGATGAGTCTGCTCTGAGCATAGCTGTCAGCTTTCCCCTTTTTAAAAGGGAAATTCCCTTATTCCGAATAGGATTCCTCGCAAGCAAAGGGGAAAGTTGACAGCTATGGCTCTGAGGAAGGCTAGCCCTGAGTAGAAACTCGACGTGTTCTTCCCCCGAAGAGATTGTTTTTATTTAACGTCAGATTGATATCCTGAACCTTCCTCCAAAGGGCATGCGAATACTAAAGCAATGCAGTTATTACTTCTAAAACACAGTTTAAAGCAACCTGCTAACAAATTTAAAATCTCCCAAAAGTAAGCTCCTAGTCGCAAACTATTGATTTCAGAGTTGCTAGGGAGAATAAGCCGCTGTTTGTAAATGGCAAAATGTATTTATTTTATTTTTTTGCATGCCACCTGCTGGGGAATCTAGCAAGTCTGTGGAGTAAGAATGGGGCTCCGTTTGAACGTCTCCGCTAAATGTATCTGTGTTTTCCCTCCCCTCCTCCTTTGCAGCTTAGAAAGCCGGTGGTGGAGAAAATGCGCCGCGACCGAATCAACAGCAGCATTGAGCAGTTGAAGCTTCTGCTGGAGAAGGAGTTTCAGAGGCACCAGCCCAACTCCAAGCTGGAGAAAGCCGACATCCTTGAGATGACCGTGGACTACTTGAGGCAGCAGAGCCAGCAAACCAAAAGTGAGTAGACCGACAGAGCCTGCTCAAAGAGACTTGAGACAAGTGGGGTGCGTGGCAACAAAATGTTGCAGTATATCCCTGCCTCGCACTCTTTGGAGCAACGTCATTTATGAGCATAGGGAGCTGCCTTCTACTGAGCTAAGCCATTGGCTCATCTAACTTACACTGCCTGGTGAATGAACCTGCCACCTTCTGCATGCAAAACAGATGCTCTACCACTGAGCTATATAGGCTTTCCCTCAAATGCCCTCTTCCAGTAAAGGCCATTTCACATGTCCCCTTCCATTTCCCTTTTTTCCCCCAGCCAATATTTAAAGTTCTCTGGCTAAATGAGCATATTCAGTCATCACAAGGCTGCCTCCCCAACCCTGTTATTCTTTTGGTGAAGATTCGTTTGCACTTCTGCAAATCTTGGGGTTTCCCCAAGCATCCAAACTCTCCCTTCCCAATTGGCCCCATTTGGGCTGCAGTCCCATCAGCACTCACCACCTGAGTTTGACACCAGAGGAAGTTGCATTAGAGAATGTGATTTAAAAGTGTTCCCCCAAGCCAGCGCATGAATATTAAATCTCTCTCTCCTTCTCCCTTTTCCTTCTCTAGCGTTGGGGCCTGTTCATAAAGACACACAGGTGGACTTCACCGAAGGGTATTCCAGATGCCTACAGGAAGCCTTCCAGTTCATGTCTCGCCACAAAGTCCATGCAGAAACTCAGGCTAAGCTCGTGAACCACTTCCAAAGGAACCAGCTATCTCTGCCTGAAGCCGTCCACTCAACGTCCGGGCTGAAGCACTCTTCCTCCAAGAACATCCATGCTCTTTGGAGGCCCTGGTAGGCTGCTCAAAAGCTGCCAGTGGACTTTGTTTCTAGAGGGAGGGCTGGACTCCATCCAATCATCCAGCCCTGGTCTTCTTCTTCGTAGGGAATGTTATTTCCCCCCCTTTTAAAATTATTTATTCTCGGGGAGAAACGGAATGATTTGGACTCGTGTAGTCTGTTGAATGCCGATCTTTGATGGGCAAAATCCCCACACTCTGGAGAAGAGGGTGGGGACATGTATCTTCATAATGAAGTTGCCGTGGGAGGGTGTTATGTCTTGAACAGCAAATTGTTTGTTGTCGAAGTGTAGAAAGATTTTTCAGAATCTTGAAGCTGCCAAAGGTGGCAGCAGGACAGGGATGGGGAACTGAAAGGGCCTCTACATGGTGTGAAACCCCAGCCAGCCTAGCCAATGGTTAAGCATTTTGGCAACTGGGGGCTCACAGGTCCCCCATCCCTGCAGTAGGAGATCATTCTCCCTTTGCCTGTAAAAAGCTTCTGGCTTTTGCTCTCTTCCTGCTCTGAGAAACCAGATTTCTAGTTTCCTGGTGGGATGATTATTATTATTAATTTTTGTCTGGTTGATAGAAACTTCAGGTCTTCTGTTTTGGACAAAAAGAATGCTGTGATGTTTCGCTGATTGTTTCTTAGAGAAACGGTACTCTCTCCCTTTCTATTAAATAAGAAAAAAGTCTAGTGAGAGGTTCTGATTTTTCAATGTCATACATTCTGAGAGTAAGGACGATTCGTTCTCGATTGTGGTTTGTTTGTTTTTTTGTTTCATTGAAATAATGGTGTTTCCTCTTGGATGGGGAATGTTGCCACCCGTGTCATGGGTGGTGTATGTTTTTTTGGGTTTTTTATCCTGATGCCAGGATCAATATATTGAGTGCATACTGTGTATGCCTTTTGTATACGCCATTCGAAAGCAAAAGAATAAAAATTAAAATAAACCGTACGATTTTCTGGGCCTTGTTTTGTTTGGAAGTGGGGAGGAATCGATGGCCATGTTGAAAACAACTCAGTGCTGTTCCTCCTCCTCCTCCATCATCATCATCATATTATTACAGTGGTACCTTGGGTTACATACGCTTCAGGTTACATACACTTCAGGTTACAGACTCTGCTAACCCAGAAATAGTACCTTGGGTTAAGAACTTTGCTTCAGGATGAGAACAGAAATCACACGGCGGCAGCAGGAAGCCCCATTAGCTAAAGTGGTGCTTCAGGTTAAGAACAGTTTCAGGTTAAGAATGGACCTCCGGAACGAATTAAGTACTTAACCCGAGGTACCACTGTATTATTATTAATTAGTATCCAATGAAGTACTATTCAGAGTACACCCATTGAAACTGATGATCCTATGGCAGTGATGTCTATTCACTTCCGTGACCCTACTCTGAGTATGGCTGAGTAACCCATACTCAGTCAGACCAGGTGTGGGGAACCAGATGTTGCTGAACTACAACTCCTATCATCCCATGCCATATGACATGCTTGCTGTGGTTGATGGGAGTTGTAGTTCTGGAATGTCTGGGAATGTCTGAAGGACCAACCATTCCCCACACCTGGTCTGACTGGCAGAGGCTCTCCAGGATTTCAGGCACAGACCTACCTGGAGACACCAAGAATTGAACCTGGGACCTTCTCTGCATGCAAAGCTGATTCTCCACCCACTGAGCTACAGCCCTCCCCTTAAGACACAGGAACACAGGAAGGTGCCTTATACCAAATCAGACCACTGGTCCATCAAGCTCAGTGCTGAACCTGGGCCCTTCCACATACAAAGCAGATGTTCTACAATTCAGCTGCACCCCTTTCCCATTTATGTGCAGGGTACTTCACAGAGTACAAAGTGGCTAGTAGGCCTCTGCCCTGATGCGCCTACAATCTAGGGAGGCAATAAAGGTAGAGGAGGCGTGGGATAGCAGGGATGGATATGCGAGGGTTGCTGTTTACACAAACTAAGCAAGAGTGGGGTATGGGAACAAGCAAGGTTTCCCAAACTTGGGTCCCTAGCTGTTTTTTGAACAACAATTCCCATGATCCCTGAGCACTGGTTCTGCTAGCTAAGGATGATGGGAGTTGTAGTCCAACAGAAGCCAGAGACCCAAGTTTTGGGAAACCCTGTGCTAAAGCCTCCACAGAAAGGAGGAGGAGGAGGGCTCAAAGGAAGATCATAGACTCATAGAATTGTAGAGTCGGAAGGGAGCCCAGGGGCCATCGAGTCCAACCCCCTGAAAAGGATATAGGAGCAAAGTTGGAGGCGCAGTAGCAGGAGGTTGGGCTAGATGACCCCTTATCTAAGCCAGTATTTTCAACCAGGGTGCTGTGGCACCCGAGGGTGCCTTGAATAATGCTCAGGGGTGTCGTGGGCAACACTGGCCTCTGTCCCTCTTTTCTTCCCTCCTTCCTCTGAAGCCCTCTGGGTTCGAATTCCCACTCAGCCATGAAGCTCACTGAATGCCCTTGGAGTCAGCCTCACCTACCTCACAGGGTCGTTGTGAGGAGGACATGGGGAGGAGGAAAAACCATGCAAGCCACCTTACATGGTATATCCAGGTGGTATATAAATATAAGGTAAGGTGACGCGGGTGGCACTGTGGTCTAAACCACTGAGTCTCTTGGGCTTGCTGATCAGTAGGTCAGCAGTTCAAATCCCTGAGACGGGGTGAGCTCCTGTTGCTCTGTCCCAGCTCCTGCCCACCTAGCAGTTCAAAAGCAGGCTAGTACAAGTAGATAAAAAGGTATCTCTGTGGCGGGAAGGTAAACAGCATTTCTGTCCACTCTGGCTTCCTTCACAGTGTCCCATTGTGCCAAAAGTGGTTCAGTCCTGCTGGCCACATGACCCAGAAAGCTGTCTGGCGGCTCTCTCAGTCTGAAAGTGAGATGAGCACCACAACCCCATAGTCGCCTTTGACTGGACATAACCGTCCAGGGGTCCTTTACCTTTGTTACAAGAAAAATAAATTGCTCCTTTTTCCCTTAAGGGGTATCCAAGAGCCCATAAGTAGGTTCTCTCTCCATGTCAAAGATGTCAAAGAGAAGAACAACTACCAGACTTTTAGAAGCCCTCTTTAGAGAAGCTTTTAATGTTTAACAGACCACTGTATTTTAATACTTTGTTGGAAGCTGCCCAGAGTGGCTGGGGACACCCAGCCAGATGGGTGGGGTATAAATAAATTATTATTATTATTATTATTATTATTATTATTATTATTATTATTATTATTAAACTAACAGAGGCCAACCAGAAGATATTGAGAAGCAAAGCGGCTAGTAAGCCTGATCTTTATTAAACTGTTGCAACAGGTTCCCCACTCACCACACGCAGGAGGGAGAAGGAACCCCGAACAATGGTGCGCAAGCCCTTATGTAGACTTTTGAAATTGCCCAGCCTGAAGCTCAAGACCACCCCCCTAAACATCATACATACATCACAGAAGGAGGCAGTCTATCTACAGCAGAAATCCTGCCTGTCAGGATACCTGATCATGGTCACTGACTGCATTACCTGGGCAGCCTTTAGTGATGGTAAATACTTTAGTTCCTGAGTCCAGGTCACAGGCTCACTCTATTCATACACAAATACGCCCTTCAGACCGGATTTGTAAGCACATTCCCCATTTGCCTCCCTTCCTGCAGAGGAATATTGGTCATTGGCAGAATCAGAATGGCTTCAGGATTGTTCTCCTGTACTATTTCAGGTTTATATGAACTTATGTATGTGTTTGCCTTGTACATTTATGAACATGTATTTTACAGATGTGAGAGCTTAGAATTCGTATAGCACCTTTTATATAAATATAATAAATTTAAAAATAAAATCGAGAGCTTCCATATTCAGGGGGTGTGTACCTCTGAATACCCGGGGGGGGGGGCGGACAACAGGAGAGGGGCTGCAGCCTGAATGGGTGAGTTGAGGCTTGTGCAGGAGCTCAGAAGAAGGTGCTGCTGCCTTCAGATGCTTCAACGGCCTCCTTTGAAATCTGGAGGGTCTGCTGCAGTTGACATCATAGAGCTGGTAGAGCTGGAAGGGACCCTGGGGGTCATCTAGTCCACCGGGGGGGGGGTCCCTTGGCCTATGGCTTTCTTGCAGAGGGAGGGAAGAATTCTGCTTCCTCTCACATTCAGGATTTCTGCCCTTGCATTGTTGTATATTAAACAGGGACTTTTCCAGATTGTCTCTTAAAGAAAGGAATCGGTGGTCAGTCTTGTGTAGACGTTAGCGTGCTCCTCTTCAGCTAAAGAACTTAAGAGGAATATTCCTAGGAAGCTGCCGTGGACACAGTCAGTTCTGTGACCCACTTACCTCAACAGCGCCTGCACTGACCGGCAGCAGCTCTCCAGAGTTTCGGACGGGGGGGGGGAAGCATGTGGGGGTAGTCTCCCTTTGGAATGGGGCTGCAGGAAGAAGGATGTGAAATGAAGATGCAGCCCAGCTGCAGGCAGAACAGCAGGTGCTTCCATGTTCTGATAGAGGAGCATCACCTCACTGGAGGGGCCAGGTGTGTCCAGGTCCAGGTGGTGGTGGGGGGTTGCCACGGTGACAATGACCCACCCTCCTTTGTGACATCACTTGCTTCTCCTTTAAAAGCCACAGACTTGCAGGCAACCATTGTGGGTTAGTAGTGAGGTGAGTGGAGGAGAGAGGAGTTAGTGGTGGTTGGTAGAGATTAGGAGAGGAATTTGGTTTATTGTTATTTTTCCAGTTTCTTAATTTGATTTTGACTTATTACTTTTATTTGATTCATTTGATTTTATTCACTTTTATTTGGTTTATTATTTTACTTTTTTATTTTAACACTTTTATGTTACTTTTTTGTTCTCTTCTCCCTTTCCCCTCCTTGCGCTTTGTGGACCTGCTGGCTTGAACATGGGCATCACACACAGGAACTGAAGTGGCACTTCCATCATCTGCTCTGGAGCTTCTGACAGAGACCCCCAATGCTTCACACCTACTCCTCCTGCTTAACGTAAGTGTCCTGATAGCATCGGAGATGATAAAGGGATGCCAGGGACTCCATGGTGGGGGCGATGGAGGGCCGTTTTGGCCCAGACTTGCCCCTGACCCTGAGATGCTCTTTCCTCCTGCAGGACCTCTGATGTTACTCCATAGAGGAAAGTGGGGAGCCAAAAAACCTGGCAGCCAGCTGGCCTTTGCTCGTAGGTTCCCCCATCTCAGAGTAAGTAGCTCTCCTTCATGGATTTAGTCCTTTGAATCCTTCCATCTCCCCAAGAGGCTCCCAAAGCTACTCATCCTTTGCAGTCAATAACAGACCTAACGGGAAAAAACTGCCTACTCTTCTGATGACATCAGAGAATTCTAGATGACATCAACTCATTCCATACCATTATGGATGCATGATTCCCACAGACAAGTTTCTTGGCAAGACAAGGGCCTTCACTGGCCACTTGAGTGTCCTCTTCCGCATCCCCAAAGAATGAGCTGGGCTGCAAAAGCTGCACCAAAGGGATGGGGCAACCCAGGCTAAAGGGGGTGGAGCTGTCCTCCCCCAATCTCACCAGGCTGCTAGGTAGGAGAGCAAGAGCCAGAGAGAGTTGTGGGAGACACAGAGACCGGCTTGCTCTGTGCTGAAGTCAAAGCTGTGACTAATGGAGAAGCAAGATCTGCTGGGGTTGTCAATGCTTTGAGCCCCTCCATCCTAAAACCATATAGCATAAAGACACCACAGTCTCTGCTGACCTTCATTCCAAGGAAACCGAAGAGCCCTAGAGTCTCACCACTCAGAGACTCGGGTAGTTTGCAAATACAAACACATACATACACAATAATTTTATGCTTGTATTCCTAACACATAATTAAGCGTGAAGGGCATGTTATGTGCTTTAGCAACAGCCCACCTGTAAATAAGGAAATGCAGCCTCCATTGCTGATTTATGAAAGAAGCAAGAAAGCAAATCTTCTCTGACTGTGGAGGCAGAACAGAGACATCCTGGCTGGTAGCCATTGGTAACCATCCCCTCCATGAATGTGTCTTGTCTTCTTATGAAGCCATGCGGATTGGTGCCCACACATTTTGTTTAGCCTGAGACATTTTTCTGCCTGTGGCGACAGAGAATCCTAGAATTGTAGGGCTGAAGGGACCCCAAGGGTCATCTAGCCCACATATCTCCCTGAAATGGAAGAAGGCAGTGCACACATACACTGGTTCCATGTACGGAGTCCAGCTGTAGGGGTGGCTGGGTTTTATTCTAGCTCCACCAACTCTGGGGGCTGCAGACTAGCTTAGGGGGCTACAGTGCAGCCTGCATGCCCCCCCCACGGCTCTGTCCTCCAGTCCCTTCCTGCTGCCCCCCCTACTTTAGCACCTGAAGCAGCCTCGTCTCCCTGCCTAACAGGAAGGCCAGCCCTTTCTCTCTTTCTTTGGCCTTTGCTATATCACAGGCCTAGATACATAGCAAATGTTTTTAGGGAGCGGAGGCAGGGAGACAAAGACTGGCAGCAGAATCAGAAAGGGCACCAGGTTGGGATCGGCAAAGCTCTCCGGCTTAGCCATCTTGTCAATTGAAAACAAAGTAGCGAAAGAAATTGATTTTGATGATGTGATTTCAAAATTTGCAGAGACCAAAGTTAGGGGGGGGGGAGGTTTTAAGTGCTTATGCTCACAATGTTAAGTACCGTAAATAAACCAGAAAGCAACACTTTCAACTGTAAGTATCTTATTTCTCCTTCTTTTAAGAATTTCAAGCAGCGGGTGACAAGAAATTTTCTGCACCGGGTACCATCTGACCTTGCTATGCCACTGGTATGAAAGGTTCCTTTGGGCCAGCTGTTTAGAGCACCATAGACACACACCCCTGCCACCCCCATCTAGAGAGCTAGGCTGCAAACTTCTGCCTGGGTCCTTCAAAGGTTTATATGAGTCAGAACAGACAGTACTGTAGGGATGGAGGAGTTGTGACCCCTTGATCTACTTTCCTTCCATTTTCAGCTTTGCATCCCACAATGTCAGTGCTGCAATTATGCTAAACCACGAGACTGTCACATTGGGATCTCTGCAAGGTCATTGCACTCCTGCTCCTGTATAGTTCAACACTTTCTGCCTTCTTCACAGCTGACCCAAAGGAAGTTGCAAGGTCTCCCTTCCTGTAAGGAAGAGCCAATGCTGCCCTCTTGTGGCATATGCTGGGATTCCCCCTCTCCATCTTCACTTTCCAAGCCCCGTGTGGGACTCACCAACAGATGTCAGTCTTTATTTGCTGTGTATTTATCCCAGCCTTCCTGCAAGGAGCGCAGGGAAGCTGACATGCTTCTCATAACTCAACCCAGTGCAGTAGCTTAGCCTGGATTATATACATAGCTTCTTGGATTTGAGCTCACATTTCCCAGCTCCTAGCGCATGGGTCATCAAACTAAGGCCCGTGGGCCAGATCAGGCCCAATTGCCTTCTGGATCTGGCCCACGGACGATCTGGGAATCACCGTGTGGATCGCCAGCCCGTGTGTTCTTTCTCTTTCTCTCCCTCCCTCTCTCTCACACAGTGGTGTCGGCACCTCCTCCCTCCCTCCTCCTGGCTTCTCCCTGCCCTGCCTAGAGGAGGAAGAGAGCTGGGCTTTGTTTGTTGGTGCCAGCAGCAGCAGCAGCAGCGCTCAAGCGGCCGCCATTTTAAGTAGCCCCTCTCCAGAGCCCTTTCATGCGCCACTTATCATCCCTCTGCCGCCACTGCCCCTGCTGCTTGCAAGACACAGGTAAGCAGCTTCAAAATATAGTCCGCCCCCCCCACAAGGTCTGAGGGACAGTGGACCCTCCCCCTGCTGAAAAAATTTGCTGACCCCTGTCCTAGCGCATGTTAGCCACTACACTGGACTTGGCTCCCCAGTCACCTTTCATCTGCCTCACTCCCTGAATGCACCTTTCCCTAAAATACTTTTTGTGCCACTTTAAGAACTATGAGCAAACCTGAAAACTCACCCAGTAGGTTCAGCTCCAGTGCGGAGCCATTTTTTAAAAACAAAATGTCAAAAAACAACAGCCACACACCAACTGCCCTCTTAGCAGCCCAACCTGGGCTGCACCCAGGACTGCCTTGTCAGCACAAATTTGCACCCTCCTGGAGTGATTTCACCTGGCTGGAATGTGGCCTTGAGCTCTGGTGTTGCCTGGATAGAAAAGGGCATGTGAGTGAATGTAGGAACTAGCCTACTGGGTAAAGTTACATTTTAGATTAGATGATCTACCACAGGGGTCAGCAAACTTTTTCAGCCTTGTGAGGGGGTCGGACTATATTTTGGAGGGGGGAAATGAATGAATCCTATGCCCCACAAAAAAACCCAGAGATGCATTTTAAATAAAAGCACACATTCTACTCATGTAAAAACACCAAGCAGACCCCACAAATAACCCAGAGATGCATTTTAAATAAAAGCACACATTCCACTCATGTAAAAACACGCTGATTCCCAGATTGTGCATGAGCCGGATTTAGAAGGCGAGTGGGCCGGATCCCTGCTGTGTCTTTGTCAGTTTGGCCAGCAGATGGAGCACATTTCACAAAATATGGTGAAGTTAAAAGTGAGTGAAGAGTCTTCTGGGTCAGGCCAGTGGCCCATCTAGTCCAGCATCCTGTTCACACAGTGGCCAACCACATGCCTGCGGGGAAACCACAAGCAGGACCTGAGCACAAGAGCCCTCTCACCTCCTGTGGTTTCAGAAGCGTTGCTGTCTCTGACAGTGGAGGCAGCGCATAGTCATCATGGCTAGTAGCCATGAATAGCCTTCTCCTCCATGAATTTGTCTAATCTTTTAAAACCACCCAAGTTTGTGGCCATCACCACCTCCTGTGCGAGTGAGTTCCATAGTTTAACTATGTGCTACATGAAGAAGTGTTTTCTTTTTAACTTGCTTCCTCAAACCTCAGAAGGTTTGGGGAAATCTATCCCTTTCAGTTTGACATATTTCCGCATCAGTTCATGATTTATTGTTATGTTGTTTTTAGTCAGCATTCTCGCCAGCAATTCTGCAAGGATACACATTTTTGCAAGTGATAGTCCCTAACGTCATGCAGTTTTCGCCAGCATATGCATCTTTGTGAACACTTTCCCTGCAATATATGCACTTAAAAAGGTAAAGGGACCCCTGACCATTAGGTCCAGTCGTGGCCGACTCGGGTTGCGGCGCTCATCTCGCTTTATTGGCTGAGGGAGCCGGTGTACAGCTTCCGGGTCATGTGGCCAGCATGACTAAGCCACTTCTGGCGAACCAGAGCAGTGCATGGAAACGCCATTTACCTTCCCGCCGGAGCGGTACCTATTTATCTACTTGCACTTTGACGTGCTTTTGAACTGCTAGGTTGGCAGGAGCAGGGACTGAGCAACAGGAGCTCACCCTGTTGCGGTGATTCAAACTGCCTAGGTAAGTCCTAGGCTCTGTGGTTTAACCCACAGTACCACCTGTGTCCCTTATGTGCATGTTAATTTTGCATTGCAAAATTCAGGCACCTGAAAATCTGTTGGCATTTTAGTGCAAATCTCTTACAACACTCACATTTTTGCATGGAGTTGTCATGGACGGGCTGGATGCAGAGGACTGATGGGAGGCACCAGCTGGGGAACCCTGAAGGGAACCCTAAGAGGAAGAAGGCTCCAAAACCAGGGGATTGGTGGTGGGACGATGATGAGTGGTCAGAGGAAGAAGAGGCAGCAAACTGGGAGGAATAGGTGTCAGAAACTGAAGGCATAATAGGATTTGGTGAGAGGGAAGAGGCTGGGGCAGAGAGCAGTCCAGCATCAGAGGCAGAAGCAGAGCAGGGCCAAGAGGCAATTTGGAGGTAGGCTGCTGAAGAAGCCAGGGAGTCTCCCTTTCCTGATGCATCCAACTCCCTTCCTGTCTGGTCTCCCAGAACATGTGGCGAGGTGAAGAGGGTGGAGCAAAGAGAGACAAGGCAAATTAGCCTTAGACTGCTGGGGAAGGAACTGGGGGAGGAGCCTTAGAGAGCGGCGGGAAGGCAGGGACCTTCAGTCCTCGCAACTGCCTCATTGGAGCAACACCTATTGGGAAGAGTTGCTGTGGTCGCTAGGCCTGCGTTGCATTCTGACCTCCCTTGCAATGTTTTAGTTTGAAATCTTCAAGATAACATTTTAGTTTCCTGTTCCTTATGGTGCATCAAATGCATGCTTTATATTTGGCTTTCATCAGTAATGTTTTGTTCCGGATTGTGTCATTTGATGTTTGCACGTGTTGCAAACGGACTTGAGATTCCGCCCCCCCCCTTAAAAGAAAGTAGGGCAGAAATGAAATGAATAATAATAAAACTAGAATACGATGCGTCAAAGGCCCACCGTGACAGAAACCATGCAATGGAGCAAAGGATGACTTGAGCTCATGAACTTATCTCGGGTGCAGCCGGAGTTGTAATAACTGACTCCTGCACACTCAGCAATTTGGTGGGAAATACCCCAAAACACATGGGCTTCGGTCACGTATAGAAATAGCATTCCTGTCAAAAGCTGATTTAATCATTTTTTATTTTGCAGATCATCTAAGTCTGAGTCAGCACCTTTTAACTCTTCTGCTCTTCGCTACCCCTGCCAAACTTGGTAGAAAAATAGACTAAGCAAATCCTTCCTTGGCAGATAAGACCAATTCCTGTCAGCGAGGTTTTGAGACAACTGCAAGGTGTGATATGCTGGCAATGAAATGGTGCATGCTATCTTGTACTTTTAAATTGAATCTTTCCATGTTTTGTATTTTATAGCTTTGTTAGCTGCTTAGAGGTTTTCTTACAAACCGGCGGTAAACAAATTTTGTTAATTAAAATAAATGAATGAATGCAGCTGGTGGTGTGACTCTTCCCGCTCCTAACCACACTGCAGAGATCAGGATTGAACCAGGTGGTGACCTGGTTCATTCCTGATGGGGGCGACTTACCCAGCTCCTTCCCTGCAAGGGAACACACTGGCAAAGCAGGTCCCTGCTGGTTCAATCCTGCTCAGCTTGATTGTGCACACACCTATTCTATGATACAGCCTGTAAGGTTCAAGAAGAGTCAGACACATACCCCGTTTTGTTAAGATTCACAGTTTATTTATTAATGTGAATACCACTTGATGCCAAAATAGGCTTCTGTGGTTTACAAAGTACAGAGAGGACTCCTTTTACGCCAAGGTGGGAAAGCTTTTTCAGCCAGAGGGCCACTTCTAAGGGCAACTCTCTAAGGGTCACATGCCAGGTGTGGGCGGGGTCACAAGTAAAAGTAGGAGGAGCAACACGTGTGAATGTTACCCTTGCACAGTTTCTGCGCATGCTCACAAGATCTATCCACCACCCGGCTAGCAAGAGATCCTGTTGGAGAGTAAGAGCATTATCCAACCAGGGAGGAATGCTGGAAATCAGTGCGAAGCAACTGGGTAAGGGTGTGTGGCCTGGAGAGATGGAGTGTGGTCTCGGAATACAGTGGTACCTCGGGTTACAGACGCTTCAGGTTACATACGCTTCAGGTTACAGACTCTGCTAACCCAGAAATAGTACCTCGGGTTAAGAACTTTGCTTCAGGATGAGAACAGAAATCGTGCTCCAGCGGCGTGGCGGCAACGGGAGGCACCATTAGCTAAAGTGGTGCTTCAGGTTAAGAACAGTTTCAGGTTAAGAACAGACCTCCGGAACGAATTAAGTACTTAACCCAAGGTACCACTGTAGTTCCAAGAGCCAGATAGAGAGGCCTTGATATACAGTGGTACCTCGGATTACATACGCTTCAGCTTACAGACGCTTCAGGTTACAGACTCCGCTAACCCAGAAATAGTACCTCGGTTAAGAACTTTGCTTCAGGATGAGAACAGAACTCGTGCTACGGCGGCACGGCGGCAGTGGGAGGCCCCATTAGTTACAGTGGTACCTCAGGTTAAGAACAATTTCAGGTTAAGAACAGACCTCCAGAATGAATTAAGTTCTTAACTGAAGGTACCACTGTATACACACACACAGTGGGAAGAAATCCCCTAAAGAACACAAGAATACCAACCTGCCACATTGATGGCGTCCTTGGCAACCAAGAGAGAGAGTGACTCTGAAATCAGAGATTGGAAATTAGCTGTTCCAAGCCTGCCTGCTGCCAGGAAAGACTGTTTCAAAATCAAGAATCCTTGAGTGACACGGCACCATTGCATGTTGAAATAGAATTCATCTGCTTGCATGTTTTTAAAAAGTTTAGTCCCCTAAAATATGCTCCCCCGGTGGACTTTTGTCTATTATACACGTTTTTGGGAAACAATGCCCCCTATGGTGCATTATTTTCACAAATATATACCTTTTTTTTTTTCACACACCTGTTTGCCTAGCATGCACTTTTTTTTTTTTGCATTGCAAAATCTGAAGCAGGGCAAGCTTTGACAAAACAACAACTAGCAAGTTTCCACTTGTGTATCAGCTCACAAAGTGCAAATAAGTAAATAAATGCTGGAAGCACATAGGTATTCATTTCAGTTATGGGATTTTTTCTTCTCACACATTCTTGAAAAGAAGTCATTGACTGAGTCAGTTTCCTGCCAGCGATAGATCATATTGAAACTGCACATCTACAAAATAATACTAATAGATAGGTAGATTACAAAATGAGGTGGGTTTGTTTTTTTTTACATGTAGCTTCCATTCCTACACATCTCAAAATCCAGTATCCATTTCAGTGGATCTCTATTAACACAGGGTTCAATCCTGCTTTGTGCTGCTTTGCCAGGGTGTTCCCTGCAAGGAATGTGCCGAGAAAGCAAACCCCTTCCCCTCACCCCACAGATCACCTGGTCACCTGGTGTCATCAGCTGCGTTGGGGTTCCCCACCCCGACCTAAATGGTTGCTTCTCCTGTTCTAGTGTTGGGAGTGCATGGGCTGTATGAAATGATAGCATGTGATCAAATGGGTAGTATAGAATCCAATAATTGTAGAGCGGGTAGGTACTGCAAGGGTCATCTAGTCCAATCTCTTGTAACCTTAAAGAGTCCCTGTCAATAGTTAACAGTACTGGTAATTAGCAATAGTAGTCGAAAGGTCGGCGGTTCGAATCCCCGCGGCGGGGTGCGCTCCCGTTGCTCGGTCCCAGCGCCTGCCAACCTAGCAGTTCGAAAGCACTCCCGGGTGCAAGTAGATAAATAGGGACCGCTTACCGGCGGGAAGGTAAACGGCGTTTCCGTGTGCGGCTCTGGCTCGCCAGATGCAGCTTGTCACGCTGGCCACGTGACCCGGAAGTGTCTCCGGACAGCGCCTCTAGAGTGAGATGGGCGCACAACCCCAGAGTCTGGCAAGACTGGCCCGTATGGGCAGGGGTACCTTTACCTTTTAGTCAGAGTAGACCCACTGAAATTAATGTCCATAATTAACTTATTTCAGTTTATTTCAATGGGTTAACTTTGAGTAGGACTTAGTTGGGTTGTATCCAATACTAGTCTTCTTCAGAGTAGGTCCATTGGTATGAACAGCCATGACGAACAAGTCCATTGGTTTCTATGGGTCTATTTGGAGTAAAGCATACTTGGCTACAACCCTATGTCTTCATAGCTTTGACTGCCCAAAACTGAATGTCGCATCTGTTGCCCCAGATTTATGCTTTTGAATCAACATGCAGAACCTCAGGTTGGAAGCTTTTCATATAGCCATCTTGCCATGATGAATAGTTGGAAATTTCGGGACGGACAAAGGAAAGTCCTTCTTCACACAGCACTTGTTCAGCTGTGGAATTCTCTCCCCAAAAGGGCAGTGACAGTCACCCTCTTGGATAGCTTGAAAAGAAGGTTAGAAAGATTCCTGGAGGAGAACAAGGCTATCAGCAGCTATGAGCCATCATGGAAATGAATGAGCTACCTTCCGCACTGGAGACAGGATGCCTCTGAAAACCAGGTGGGAATAGTTGCTGCTGCACTCAAGTTCTGCATCCAGGCTTCCCATTGAGGCATCTGGTTGTCCACCAAGAGAGAATAGGATGTTGGAGCAGATGGACCTTTGCCCTGATCCAGAGAGGCTCTTATTATGTTTATTTTTTTGCTATTAAAGATACTGGAGTGAGAAAGGGGAGGAAAAATGGGCAGGGGGAGGAGCTGCTATGCCTACCATTGGCTCCACCTACTGTGACTCTTGACTACAGCTACCATTCACTGATGTGACCTACATCTCACCAGGTGCAACTGGGACCATCTGCCACTGACCCTTGGGAATCCTTTTGGGTTTTTTTTTGGTGGGGGGAGGGAAGGAAGACCAGAGTGAAAATGCTTCAAGTGAATCAAACGAAGAGTATTGGGCACATTCCTTCTTTCTCTTCCTCACATGCTCATTGAACCGCAAAGGCAAAGAAAGGGTTGTTTGAATAGCCTAGTATTCTTAGGATCAAATTGCATCCGAGGCTAGCAGAAATATTTATTTCTCCTGTGGCTGATCCATGATCATACAAGGGTGGACAGGTAGGGATTGTGGGGTGAGGGGGGGTGAGGAGAGAGATTCCATTTTGTTCTCATGAGGAACTAGCTAATTCACACTTCACAAACTGGCATGTAAATCAGAAACCACAAATATCCTTCGAAATTTGCAGTTCTGCGAAAGTTGCAGTTCTTCAGCCAATGTGTACAGAAATGCATTATGGTGGTGGTGGTGGGGATGCACCATAGAATGACACACTTTGGTGCAAACAACATGGAATATAATAAACAAAAGTGCATTATATTATGGGAAATGGCTTGCAAAAATGAGTACGTTAATTGAAACTGCGTATGAAACTGCCAGGAGAAATTTGCACGAGTGAACTTTCACGACAGGAATAGTGCTTTTAAAGAAAAAAGAACACCCCACATATTGTTGTGGAAATGTGGAGACCTGAATCTAAGATCGGGGGAAATGAAAGTTACTGAAATGGAAAGGTTTGCCAATGTCAGCAGTTGTCTTGTGGTCAGAGTTCAAGAGCCAGGTGGTGTTTTTCCTAGCTTCAAGTTCACCCAACTCTTCAGTGCTCCGGTGGACTGATTCACTTAGAGTCGTTTCCTTTCACCCTCCTGCTGCCAGGTACTTTTTTAAAAAAACATGATCAGAAGGACTGGACCGTTCCCTCCTCTATTGTGATTGGAGCCCACCTCCTGCTTCCTGTCTGCTATTTCCCATCTGTAAACAGTTCTGGGAAGACAGGATCCAGAGACGAGTTTGCATAAAAGGAGGAAAGGCAGACGAGCTTGAGTGCCGAGAAATGAAGTGGCTGGGGAGAAGTTATCTGGAACTGAGTGCAATTATTTAACCACCTCTGGGGAAAAGAAAGAAACCACAGCCGGAGAAAGATTTTTATTTTTATTTATTTTACTTTCACTTTTGGAGCTAGCGATCGTCGAGCTGTGACTGCTTCGTTTGACAGGACTCAGATATTCAGGGAGAGGGCTGGCAAGTTTGGTCTCGTTTGGCTGAAGGCCCAGAGGGCAAAGGCAGTGGGAGCAGTGGGAACTTCAGAATGCAATGTGCTCGGTGCTGGGAATATGGAGTCCAGAAATCCTGGATCTATAGGAACCGAAGGGAGGTAAACACAAGATTGCAGTAACTACAGGGTAATGACCTTCGTCTGCCTCGTGACTGGATGAAATTGGAACCCTCCTTCTTTCAGCACCATGCATCTGGTAAGCAAACTTTGAAACTTTGTGCATCCCCCCCCCCCCGGATCAGCCTATCGTGCTATAAGGGTGCAATCAAGAGATCTGCCTCCTTCCTCCTGAAAAAAATGAGGGCTTCAAGGAGAGTGGGTGTTGGGCCAGAGGATATTGCCAGCTCACTTGTTCTCAGCTGACCAGTGTGTGGCTCAGTCTCCACTAGGAACGGTAGCAGGGAGAATACACCTGGCAGATGGCAAACATTGCCTTTTAGAAATTAAAGCTTTTGTTGGTTTACCTGGTTGGGAGCCATTGTGATGGGTCGGACTGGGAATTCAGGTCCCACTTGTTTGTTTCTAAGACTTCAGTATTCCAGTAACTGAAAGTGAAAGGTGGTTTTTCCTATGAGCAGTAACTGCTAGCTGGTGCTTATTCCACTAAGTCAAAAGGTACACTTGGCTTAGGATTTTAAACAATGGAATTGTTGGTAATGTGCAAATTTATTTGGGGATCATAAGATTATTGGGTCAAAAGGAGGGATGGGGAAATTTGTCCATTTCAGTTTCTCATCTTTGCGCTCATAAGTTCTGTTCTCCACATTTTCACATTGGTTTGTGATTTCACGAGCATTTGAGTGCACATTTCTCCTGACAGAACACATCTCCATAGGCAATTTTGCCCAATGTGTACCTTTTTTTGCAAAACCATTCCCTCTTACATAATGCATATTTGTATGCTATATTCTCCATGGGTTGCATTTTAACAGATGCATTTTTGCACACATTACTTGCCTGGAGAACTGCATGGAGAAGTGCGAATTTTGAAGGGCAACTGTGATTCAGTTTGCGTATCGTTTCAGAAAGTGAATTTTAGGTAGGTTTCCCTCTCAATGCAAACAAAATCTGATTTCTCCCCCATCCTTAGTAACAGCAATGATCCTGAACAACTAGGGCAGGCAAATCCCCAGACTTCAAATCCCATCACCCCTGATAACTAGCAGTGCTGGGTAGGGCTTATGGGAGATGGTGTCCAATAACAACTCAAGGGCCACAAATCTCCCATGAAGGCTGTGCATATTTAAGTAAGGCCCACTCTGTGGCACTTCCTCCCAGGTAGATGGTTGCAGGATCTGAGCCTAACAGCCTTTGTTTACTGCCCTAGGAAACCTTTTCTTTAAGGTTGCGCAAAGACAGGAATTATTGTTCGGCTTTCCTAGATCATGGCAAGATCTGTGTGTATCCCAAACCTTGCATGTTCCACTTCTGTCCTGAGTCCTCCAGCCTCCTGGCCCATCTGATCGAAGCCTGGGCTACCTTTGAAGTCACCTTTCATTTCAAAACGGGCGTTTGCCAATGGCATGGGAACTGATGCTATTTTTTAAGAAACCCACAAGTGCACCTAATTATATGACAGGCTTCTTGGGTTTTTGACTTCTACTTTTAGCACAACCACAACACCATCATTACTCAGGCACTGAGTACGATCTAGACATCCTCTCTCAGCGACCTTCTTTTTTTGTGGTGGAAATACATGTGGGACAATGGAGGGTGTGTGTCGGCTGCAAACAGTTGCGTGGGTGCAGAAGTGTCACGGGCACCTATTGGCTAGCGCCTGTGATGTCTGGTGTGATGAGTGACAAATCTTCACCTTTCTGGTGAGTCACTCTCTGTACTCAGAAAGCCGCATGATTACTATTTTTAAAAAGAAAACCTCAAAAGGTGAACACTCACCTGTCAGGCCAGTCTGTATGTTACAGGAGTGCTCATCAAGCTACCGATCGCAGGGTACCCTGAACTTCTTTTGAGAGGCTGAGGATGACATAGTTGGGTGGGTGTGTTATCCCACTTTATCTCCTCAATAACCATTTGAGGTAAGTTCAATGGCAATATGGTGGCTACCTGAACTGTACCCAGTGAGCTACCTGTCTTTATGGGGAACACTGAAAGGTGTCCGCCTTGAGGAATGTTCACTAAGTCATTCTGTTCATTGCAAGGGCATCAAACATAAAGAGAGAAGGACGTTAACGTATGGTTAACAGATTTTTTTCAATGAATCTGGGGACACTTTTTTCTTTTTTCTTTTTGAAGCTGAGTAGCAATAGGGAGTCAGTAGTGTTGGATGGTGAGGCAAAAGACCCTGGGCCCAAGCACACATGCATATTGTATAAAGGTGCAAAGTCCTTCTTTCGTACCCTGTGACACATAAATGCGTAGAGGTTTTTTTAAAAAAACTGGGCAACAGTGTGCCACCTGCCTGTGACTCCTGAGCCTTCCCCGATCTCCTTCCCCCTTTGTTTTGACAGATCAGGGGAGGCTCGGGAGTCACGGGCGGGCGGCCGTTGCCTGGAGGGGCCAGCCTGGTAGTACAGTTGGCTCTGACTGGCTTCAGGAGCTGCTCGCTGCTTGCTCCCGGGGCGCAGGAAAAATGGTGGGCGCCATGGCAGTGAGCAGCTCCTGAAGCCAGCCAGAGCCGACTGTGCTACCAGGCTGGCTCCGGGCTGCTGAGGCTGCCGTTTCCCGGGGACAGATTTGCAAATCTGGGACATTCCGGGGATGGAATTTGTCCAGGGACAGATTTGCAAATCTGGGGACTGTCCCCAGGAACCGGGGATGTCTGGCAACCCTATGTTAATGGCAACGAATGCCTCCCAAACCTCCAGGAATTTCTCAGAATCTCCACCTTGGCTGATGCATGAGAGCAAATGGGGAACTGCCCCGCCAACTGTCAGCCTCCCATCCTGAAACACCATGATAGAAAGTCTTCCTTGAGAGCAAACGGGAGATCTGTTTTCAGACTGATTGTGGCACAGGCTCAGCCGCAAGCACAACGCCCAGAAGTCAGGATTCCAAGGTGCAAGCTGTGAAAATGTCCGGACAGTTGGCATGCCCATCCCACCATGCTTTTAAAGTCGAGGCTGAATCTCTATTGGTAGAGCATTCCACAGGACTGAGCCAATGACATGAAAGGCTTGGTTTCTTGCTGTGGGCAGGTGAACATCACCAACTCAGGGTGCAACCAATGGTGGTCCTGCCGATTATCTCAGTGATCGAGCTCGGATATCAGGCTACCCCGGACCGAAGTCAATCAGGGCTTTGTAAATTAACACAAGGACTATGAACCTGGCTTTGTTGTAGATGGGCAGCCAGAGAATCTACCAGTGTGGTGTAGTGGTTAAGAGTGGTAGACTCGTAATCTGGTGAACCAGGTTCGCGTCTCCGCTCCTCCACATGCAGCTGCTGGGTGACCTTGGACTAGTCACACTTCTTTGAAGTCTCTCAGCCCCTCACAGAGTGTTTGTTGTGGGGGAGGAAGGGAAAGGAGAATGTTAGCTGCTTTGAGACTCCTTAGGGTAGTGATAAAGTGCAATATCAAATCCAAACTCTTCTTCTTCTACTATCCAACCCATAAATTCCCTGCTCATAACCCCACTTCCCTCTACTCTTAAGTAAAAGACCCCCCACACTGTCAAGTTTCCCAGTTTTGACAGCAGAAGTAAAACAGAATTAAAACTGATAGGAAGAAGTGGCCCTGAACATAACAATAAGTTCTCTTAACTACAAAGGTTATTTCCTGTCTGGCAAGGCATCGTTCACTTCTGCATCCTGTTGTGTAACACGATTAATGTCTCGGAGAACGTTACACACGGAGGGGAAGAAATGTCCCTGAGTCATGTTGGGTCACAATGTGGGTTTGTGGTGTCTCACTTCCGCAGGGACTTCTTGGATGACAGCGTCCCTTACAGCCAGTTCTATTTTTCTAGAAAAAGAGGTGCCAGAAGTAACCACAAACACCTCCCTTGTTCTCTTACAATGGCAATGGCGCCCACCTGAGAGGTGCTGGAACTGAGTTCCAGTGAGTTCCTGCTGAAAGAAAGCCCTGCTTCTAGCCCTCCACGGAGCTGTTTCCCATCGTGCCATCTTGTTGGTCAAAATAATAATTGAAATACTGCTCCACCACATCTTCATCAAAAACTATGAAACTGGATTCTGTTTGGAATTCATTTATTTGCTGGCACACATTGGTCAAATATGAACCGAGTTCTCTAGCTGAGGGGTGGGGGACACCAGGTCCAGGCCTCTGTATTAGGCCTTGGGGACTGTCCCCAGGCCACACTGCTCACTGGTCCAGCTTCATAACTTGGATGGAGTATATCTTCACACCCTGCTTCTTTCTTATCTGGATAGGAGATAAAATGTGGCCCTCAAGCCAAGAAAGTTTTCCCTCTTCTACTCCAGATGATGCACAATACAAATCAAATGCAAATACTAAACTACATAAAATAATATCACCATGTATGTCTCTGTGTGTAAAGGTAAAGGTACCCCTGCCCGTACGGGCCAGTCTTGACAGACTCTAGGGTTGTGCGCCCATCTCACTCAAGAGGCCGGGGGCCAGCGCTGTCTGGAGACACTTCCGGGTCATGTGGCCAGCGTGACAAGCTGCATCTGGCGAGCCAGAGCTGCACACGGAACGCCGTTTACCTTCCCGCTAGTAAGCGGTCCCTATTTATCTACTTGCACCCGGGGGTGCTTTCAAACTGCTAGGTTGGCAGGCGCTGGGACCGAACAACAGGAGCGCACCCTGCTGCGGGGATTCGAACCACCGACCTTTCAATCGGCAAGCCCTAGGCGCTGAGGCTTTTACCCACAACGCCACCCGCGTCCCCTGTCTCTGTGTGTACACAAACATAATAAAACACCCACATCCAGGGCCGGATTTAGGTTTGATGAGGCCCTAAGCTACTGAAGGTAATGAGGCCCTTTATATGTCCAGCTGGCCTTTGTCAACAACAAATTGTCATTGTTTTTGCTGTTTAATGGACTTACCGATCAGAAGGTCGGCGGTTCGAGTCCCCGTGACGAGGTGAGCTCCCGTTGCTCAGTCCCTGCTCCTGCCAACCTAGCAGTTTGAAAGCACGTCAAAGTGCAAGTAGATAAATAGCAGTGCCCGGCGGGAAGGTAAACGGCATTTCCGTGGGCTGCTCTGGTTCGCCAGAAGCGGCTTAGTCATTCTGGCCACATGACCTGGAA